CAACTCATCTTCAATTTCCTTTGCGGAGGAGTCTATCCAGAACCGAAGATAAATGAGAGGACGGTGATGCGTTTCCCATGCCATTTCTTGAGATCTGGAACATTGCTTCTTCTGAGAGCCATAGTGGTTTGTGAAACTAAGTACAATATGAATGCAGTTATTTTCCTTGAAGCTCTCTTTCACGTTCTGGCTATGAATGGATGTACAATGATAATACAGAGAAAACAAGTAACAAGATAGCTTTCCCTATCTCGCTCCTTTCAGTGGGTCTTGTTATGGCTTTCTTTTGCAACGTGCGCACAAATGCAACGAAATGGAGCCAGAAGCAAAGTGCGAAGCAGCCGTAGCAGTTGTTTGATGATCCAAAGAAAGCAGCGTATCCCACATGCGGAGAATATGACGAATGTCAGAGCCAGTAGGATTAGAAGAATGGCGGTAACTAGTTACCATTGCGCTACAACGTCGATAATGTGACTAAAGTCTGGCCATTCAGTCTCGGATATGCTGCTCGTGCCTCCTTCAATCCACTGCGTCAATATTGATTGTCCTGTCTGTGTGAATTTCAGGATACCTCCGAGTTGAAATTCAGTGGGGATAGAGCCGCACGAAACCGAGCATTTCATGTGAATTCGGGCAGAATTGAAGCTGAATCTTAGGATGGACTTCGTTACGTCTTTGGAGCAGCCGACTGTGAAGGTAGCTCCGTCACATATCACTTCTGCTTGAACATCACGCGTTGAGGTGCAAGTCACTTCTGCCATCGCGCCCTTTGCACACTTGTAACATCCTTGGAGACCAGCGTTCTCGATTTTGCACACTGTATCCTCAACTATAACGTCAGTCGTAAAGTTACCTTGTACCGTCATGATGATTTCTGCCGTCACCATGTTCGCAATGCTTGCTTGTACTTCACCTTCTTGACCTAGCTTGAATGAGACTGATGAGAAAACTGCTGGCAAGACGTGGTTGATGTTGTTGAACCAGGATGACAAGCTCACATTGCTGCACTTACAGTTAGCTTGCGACTCAGAGCACTGATGGTATTGTGCAACCACGTCCTTTGGTGTCAGTAGTGCCAATAAGCCATTTTAGGAAGCTTATGGGTCGGTGTAAACACTACTGTTTATAGCTCACATAGCGGTATAAACGGCAAGAAGTCATTCGTGATCGTTAAACATTCCTTTCTGTTGTTCACCACTTTAGGCCACTGAAGACGACGATAAGTCGAAACGTAAGGCCGCAAGAAGGAGCTTCACCAAACCTCTATGGCATAAGAAAACATTATCACATACTTAACTAATAGTTTTGATAAAATATTAACTCATAAATTTAATAATAATGGCAGTGGCGTTCCTAGAAATCTCTTCGTGGTTAAAGGGCGTCATTGTTTCTACAATGGATGCGGTTACTTATATGAATTATAGAAATGTACAAAATGACTTGTTCAAAAAAGCTAGCAAAAATGATCTTCAAATTTGAATTTACGTCCCCTTTCTGAGATTTCCGGGTTAGCCCGCGATAATTTTGGGAAGCTTACCAAAAATTTTTTCGGATCGGTGGCTAACACCATGCCTTCATCAGAGGAAAATTTCTTGTCTTTTTTCTGTTCGTCCCCGCCCCGAAGAAAATGCTTGGGAATGCCACTAACTGAAAGGTATCTTGGAGAAGAAGTTCAAAAACAGTCTTATATGGACATGGCATTGTCTCATGGAAAAATTGCATACCGCCATATTTTCTGATCAATCGTAATTGTAAGGGCAAAAATAATCTTCGAGTTTTGCTGCAGCATCAAAATTTGTATCTGATGCTCTCAAAATGTCAAAATTAAACAACAAAGTGCATCAGTTCTGCTTTGTCTTCTCTAATTCAATTCTCTAAGTAAATTCTAATCTGCAGTGAGTGCAAAGACGTAAATGCAGAATTGATTTTACCAGAGAGCATTTTAGGAATGGAAATGCGCAATATGAATCTATAAAGAGAGATATGTTTTATATCAGCTTTTTACTTAGCCTTGCTTGTCAGTTTTCCATAAACGCTTTATTTTACTGCTCTTTGTAGAATTATAGCAGAAAAGCATCTAGCAGTTGCATTTAATGGGGACAAATGCTGTCAACAATATTTTTCTGCCTTCTTCTGACCGTATTCGATGTAGCAAATGAAAGGCTGCATTGGGTTCGAGGGGTGAGTTTCATGATTGTTGTCTTAATCACCGATGCGATTTTAAACTTTTCAGGCTCCTAGGGGTTGGTACTTGTTCAAGACAAAAACTCCCAAAGGAATTCGCTTGACCTGGGATCTTTGCACCTGATCCAAAGAGCATGACAGCCATTTTCAAGAACTCACATATAAGCTGAAGGAAGTATAAAGTTTTTTAAAACTGCTTTTTGTTCGAGAAAACATGTAAGCATTTATCGTGTGTGGATTTTGGTTATACAGGGTGTCCCAAAAAATGTACCTACTGTTTGATTGTAATTATATCTCTTTAAAGTGTTTCGAGAACTTCAGGTACCATCTTGTAGAGGGAGGTTAAACTTAGATTTACGGTATGGAGCGAATCATCTATCGCTCTTCATTACTGTAAGAATACTGTACGAACTTTAGTAGACAAAGACTTTAGGCCATGGGAGGCTATATTCTGCCTCGAAACAAGACCAAATAAGCCAAAAACCCTTATACTACGGTAATGGGATCCGCTGATTTCGAATTTAACATTCCTATTCTACTATGGTGCTTCTTTCCTAATTTATCCCCGGTAAATCGTAATAAGACAATTCCCAGCATTTGTGAGAAATGTACATCATGTATTACATTATTAATAACATTAATTACTTCAAAAAAGCTGAAAATACTTGCAAAAAGTTGTTAGGTGGAATCAGTATGCGCGAAAAAGCTAGTGCACAACTTCTCAGATTTTTTGGAAAAAAATTTCTAGGTGGTACATTTCACAATGATTCCATATACTGGAAGTTCCTACCGTAACCTACAATACCGAAGAGCGATGGATGATTCGCTCCATGCTGTAAATCTAAGTTTAGCCTCGCCTTAGAAAATGGTATCTAAAGCTTTTCGAAATACTTCATTACAAGAGAAATATTTACAATCAAACAGTAGGTACATTTTTTTGGACACTGTATGTTTACGTTTCATGAAAAATTTTTGCCTCAAGGTACCACGATTTGATACAAATCAGTCGACGTAAAGCGGGTGCAACAGCATTAAATATAGAATTTTTCCGCTCTTCTATAACCACCTAAGGGAGCATTTTTCTGAAATGTCGTTCTATTCTTCCTTTGTTCGTATAGCTTGGTCGATAGAAATGGGCAGTTTACAAATTGTGAACGGATAAAACCTTGATATTTTGGTAGAAGAGAGTAAAATGACGTGTGCAGATTGACTCAATCTCAATCTGTTATTGAGATAAAGATTTCTCAAATGCTAATGAGGTTTTTTCCTTTACTTTTGCGGTTCCTTCTATCCCTCCCGCAGCGATTCAAGATGTATGGGCCCGACACTTCAAACCCTTTACGAACCTGGAATTATTTGTTTTCCACTATTAGGGTGTCTCATTACTTTTTGCCGTTTTTGCTACAACCGTCATCTTTTTGTATATTTCCTTCAAGTGATGTTACTTGAGTAATTACTTGACAGAGCAAATCAAACTCTACAAAATGGCTATGAAGATTCTGCTCAAGTCGTATTCCACTTGAAGTGATCTGAAATCTGATAGTAGCCGAAAACTACCGTCATAAATCGTATCTCCGACCCGAGAAATCTCAAAAATTCCCCATTTCTCCTAGCATATGCTTGAAACATCGAACATTCACGAAGATCGAATTGTACGCGAATTGCGCGTTTCATATTCAAATTGTACAAAATGGTTAGAAATAAAGAAAAAAATGAACGGAGTAAAGTGCCAAACTCCGCCCCTAGACATCCTGAGCTTCTCCCACGTATAGGCTGCTGCATGACGAAGGCGCAATACCTTCGGGCGCGAACGAGGCTTTATTAGCCTCAGAGCGCATGATGTGTGGGATCTACAACGGTGAGAATACGAGCGCGTCGCGTTCGCGCACGCTCAACTAATATCGCCATTGCGCCTTCGTCACGCAGCAGCCTTTACATGATCATATAGCTAAGGCAGACACACAGAAGTACGATCATGTACTTGTATCATTTGTAGGCGCCCCATTTCTCGAGAAATACCGATGTACAGGGTAAAAACAATGAAAAAAATTACAAGACACCCCAATAGAATTTGGCGAGTGGGGCGTGAGGCATGGGGTAAACCTCGCTAGCAGTATGTCAGCCATAAAAACCCTCTCAGTTTTATGGAAACTAACTACTTTTAAAAATTTTTCTCTCGGCTTGGACAACGCTAGCGTTCTTTTCCAAGACCTTACAGTTACAAGCCTGAAAAAAAACTTTCATTTATCTCTTTTTCTAAAAAAATCGAGACCTCACCGTTGTGTGATCATGAAAAATAATTTTCACTGTTGTTTGTTACTCCAAGGAAAATTTTATTACATTTGAGCAGTACATAGTATGAATTCGTGCATATGAAACCGGACGTAAAATTTTTCTATTCTATGTACAAAGAATAATATTTGTTCATGAAACTATATTCTAAAATTCACATGACGCGACTGCTTCATCTTCAGTTTCAGTAGTCAGGTCGAACCTAAACTTGGAACATAGTAACTGCAGAAATGCATCTTTTAACCTTTGATTCAACTGGCTTGGCGGCCGGAAGGCGGGCTGACCTAATTAAGGTCGCTTCGCGCCCGCGACAAAGTCTGCGTCTCTCCCGCGCGCGTGCTCTCTTACCATTACCTAGCCTTGTTTAGGTCACGAAGCCCCGCCTTCCAGCCGCCAAGCTAGCCGAATCATAGAGTAGATGATCTGTTTTCGAATCAGCTGCAGGAAAATGTGGAGGTAACTTTTGGTAACCGTCAAACTCGTATTGATTGATATTAATTTTGTTTAGCAGTTTAAGAAGTGAATTATATGCTCACCTCTTCAAGAACCTTGGTTTCAATGGCTGGTCTCACTTCTTCTGGCAATCGGCTGCGCTTCCATCTAGGATTTGCTACTAGGATCAAGACCGTCGATGCGTAGAGGAATATAGTAACACCGAGAAGATTCGAGATGATCTGCTGGCCACAAAGTTTGTGTCCTTTAGTCCAGCAGCTGAAAAATATTTTGAACATATTAGCTAAAAAATATATTTGGAATTGACTAACGTGTGGTGCCAAGCGGCTCTTTGGGCAATTCCCATTCCTACATTGAGAGCTAGAGTTGCGAAGAACCACATACCACCCGCTTGGTGGAAGGGCATGTAGAGCTGACGAATTCTCAGCGGAAGGGTTGGGCAGACGAAGCAGGCGAACGCGAAGGCATACTGTAAATAATAGTTCCTCAAATGATCACAGGAAAAGTTATAGAGGTGAGCGACTCATAAAAAGTGAGCAACGGCCGTTTTGCACGACAGTATCGAATGGCTACCCCGCGCGACCTGTCTAAACGGGTCGCGCACGGAGAAAGCAAGAGCCGCCGCTAGATATGTCGCGCACGGCGGTGGTCCTGCATGGATGCACCACAGCAGGATTACGGTGCGCGAACTCTGGACACCTAGAAATTTGCTTACCTGACCTCCAATACCAAGAATGGCGGCGAGACCAACCCATGAATGGAGTGACATCGCATGTGGTATCTTGTTCAGAACCTTTGTGTCATAAATGGCTTTTGATGCAACCATTGACGACGCCGTCACCATCGTCATCATAATAACATGTAAAGTTTTACTGAACCTCTTGCCCTTATTGTGGAACACACGGTAAACAAGTACGGCTTCACCGAGAAGAACTACCTAAATAATACAAACTTAGCACTTATTACCTGGAAAATAATTTTGAAGCACGCCTGAATCAACACAGGGCATTTCTCGGTGCATGGACTGGACGTGATTGCAGACTGTCTGCGTCTTTTCACAACTAGCACTCTCTAGCATAAAGCAGTGGCATGAACGGCGGAGACGCAGACAGTAAGGGGAGAGAAGAGACGCAGACAGTAAGAGCAGAACAGACACAGACGATATCTATGTGATGGTTCGCCCATGTAGGGGAAGCGAGTAGGCTCGGAGAAATTTTTGATTTTCTCACCGAAATAATATTGAAAACTGGATGATAGTTGAACGTGCGCACTGGATCTCCCCATATGAAACCGCCTTCGTAGTTATTCATCCATTTCGTCACCAATACCAAAGCCAGACCTCCTGCAGCGATTCTACTTGAGATTTTAATATTGTAGAAAAACAATATTTACCTAATACTTGTGAGCCAGCAAATAACCAATTAAAAGCTCTTTTGCTTTGCTTATCGTTCAGAAACGTGAAATCCGTTCCATTTGGCGACAACGAGAGGACTGGTTGTCTCTGAATGGGCCAGTCAATTTACTTCTATTCTTTAGCGATGGGAAACGGTGCCAATGACTCAAAAAGACATGATTTACCAGTGATGATAATTCTTCTCCCCTTTACTCAAAAAAAAACTCAAAGAGAAATTGGGATTGAGAATTTTTACTACATCATTTGTGAGTTCAAGCAAATAAACCTTTCTTATTCATGAATGAGAGCTGCTTGATCTTTGCAAAAAAAATTGGTTTTCGAAAAGAAAGCCACGTGCCTATTCTTGGCAACGGATTACCGAAATTAGAATTGTGCTAACAGTTCGGGAAAGGCCTCAGAAGTTTCACTGGAATTTTTTTTTGTTCCATCACGCCCCCTGAGAGATTTTTTGTCTCATTCCGCCTTTGAAAAAAATTTTTTACTTCGCACTGATTGTTGTTATTAATGATACTTCCTTACTAGTGTATCCAACGAATGCTGGAAAGCGTCGCCGATTGTTGACGCAATGTGATGTGATGCACAAATGCCCATCTGAATGAGTTTTAGCATAAACGCGAACAAAAGTAAGTTAACAAAACATCGATTTGTTGTAAGAAGACTGAAAATTAGTAGTTCACACTAACGAGAATAAACTGAGAAGTTCAAAGAATTTTGAAGATCATAGCTCAAAAAGAGAAGGAGAAAAAAGAAGCCATATCCTCGGCCATATCCCCGTAGTTTTTTTTTCTATAGAAGAAAAAACTGCGAGGATATAGCTGTTGTAAGAGCGATAGAGAGTGTTTCTAAGAGGAGATGTGATGAACATTATTGAAGATTCTATAGGGACGCATAAATGCTGATCTCAAAGACATACATTGAATCACACTGAATTCGGGTTTCTTTCTTGGCACGTTTCGATATTGAGTAAAAAATTAATTGGTGATGCATTGCCTAGGCTTATCGGAATGAGCACCTGTGCACGACACTTTTGCGAAGGAACATGAAAGAGATCAAAAAATTGTCAGCGACTGTGCTCCAAAAGTCAGAGCCTCATGATAAGGGTTTTTGTGCTTTTTTCCTTGTCCTAAGCTTGCCCACAGAGCTGCCCTTTTGATGCCACGCCAGTACCGTGCCAGTGCCGTTCCGGAAGTCGACCGAATAATACAGATCTAGTGCACATTGGCTCCGGCACGGCGTTAGCACAGCGCTGGCACTGCCGGTTTTTTACAATGCTCCACCAAACATCTTATGATGTTTAGATCGCAGTGGTAATGAAAAACATTTTTCAGAACTTTATTCTCGTATTTGGATAACTATTATCGTTAGAAGTGAAGAGAATTTTTACGACATGGCAGTTTATTTGTTTTAGTTAAATAAAAAAATACCTCTCAAGAAGAAATTAGGTGGCTCATAAAGAGTACATTTTCTTTTGATTATTTAACTATTTATTCATATCCATGGACTTGTTTTATACTCAAGAAGAAACAAGCTTCAATCAGATTTCAAAATTCTAATAAAAATAAAGAACTTTTGATATGAAGCTACATCAAATAGTCACACTACGACCTACCAGTGGTTTTCCTTAAGAATCTAAAATCCTGCCAGTTTTGCATGACTTTCATGGATTCGACCAGTTTTTTTGGTCTTCGTAATGCAAAACTTGTCAACATATTGATCGGAGTGTGCAAAACAAACAACAATAGAAGCATTTGGTAATTTTGCGGGAAAGAATAAGTTTTTGAAGGCTTTGCGCAAGAACATCAACAAGCACTTGTGCACTGTAGGATGAGTACAGGATAAGGTGATATAACGAATGCACCTTTTGGAATAACTACTGGCTGCAGCTGCAAAAACATTCGAGACTGGCTTGCGTTCGCTCGCTTAGCAGTAAACAAGTGTTCACATTGATCTGCCGCAAGCGACAGACTAAACACCAATCGAGGCGCTTCGGCCTCGAATGTGGGTTGTGACAGGAATTTTTCCCCTAACGAACGCCAACTGCGATTTCTGAACTCAGCCCCCACCTGGAAAACGTTTGTTAAAGGCAGTGTCCACTCAAAATTTTGCCCATGTTCTTGCCATTCCGGGGCCTTTCCATGGCCCTTATTACAGTCATAAAGTTCAAATAGTCCAATACCCCCAAAAAACCAATTCCCGAGGACCCTCTCTTTAGGAAGCGGGCGGCTTTCAGTACATGGTGGGCGGAGTCTGATAGGATCTGGGCGGGGCCTGATAGTACTTTGGCTGTTGCAGGCCCCTTATCTCCATTCAGAGGCAACATTAGAAGACCGGACCAACGCAGATGCCCCTCTCGTGGGCCTACATTCAGGATCGGCCCTAATCGGAAGGGTTAGGATTAGCCTGGACGCTGCCTTCAAGGAAAATCCTGTAAAATTCTTAACCAGCGTCTTTGATGTCAAGCACATTACATTGCTACAGCCTCTTCTCAAAGGCCATGTTAGAGGGCCAGGCCAAGGCAGGTGCTTTACTTTTAAGGTCTGCTTGAAGAATAAATGGTAATCAGGATGGATTGTGCTTGGGAGGCTTTAAGGTTACATAGTATTCGCCTACTGCTTATAAAATCATGTTCTCGAATTTTTTTCCTAAAATAAGGTGAGCAAACTCGTCCTCTAACAAATAAAACTTCCCTAAAGCTTGTCTTCAATTAGGGATTTAATTGTCTTAGGCAGGTTGTGTATTGAGTTCTTTCGTACGTCTAGTTTAGTTTTTTTTTCAGCATTTTGTAAATCATTTGGTAGAATTATTTGGTCCAAAAACTGAATGATATGAAATACTGACACTACATGTGAGCAGACTCAATTCTCTAACGAATAGAATAACCTCTCTAAGATTTGTCTTCATTCAAGGATTACATTATCTAAAGAGCCGGGCATACTTCATACGATTTCAGTCGCGACGCAATTTGGCAATATTCCAACTGTTCACAACTTACTGTAAACACCTTTTAAATGTATAAAAAATGGGGCATTTCATCAAGCAATGTAGGTTATACACACTATGCATGTGAAGTTTGCTAGTGCTGGATCTGAAAACTTCTAGCGAATTGCCAAATCGCGTCGCGACTGAAATCGCGTGAAGTATGCCCGGCCTTTAAGGCATATTTAGGTTGTGTAGTAACTCCTTTCGCAATTTTATTCTAGTTTGTCTCAATATTTTGTAGAGGATCTGATAAGATGTGCATGCGTTCGAAAGCTAAGCTGTACACAGTTACTCGCATTATGTAATTAGCTGGAAACGAATAAGATTTTTAGTTCTGCTAAAATTCCACGGAAATTCCAATTCTCCTCTCCACATTTTCCCGTTTCCCACTGCGGAAATTTACCCAAAAAATCGAGAACAAGTGGAAAAATAGACCAAACACTTCACGTTTGTCATCTCGCGCATCTGGATTGTGTTTTCTCAAATTCTGGATTTTCAAGTAAGTAATCCATAAGATAGATTTGATTCTGAAACTATAGACCATTCTTCCTGTTAGTGTTCCCGACCCATCTTCAAACCATGACTCTTTCAAACTTTTCAGCACTACTGAGCACTCTTCAAAAACTATGAAATTTTTTCTAAACCTGTCCCAGATTTCACGAGTTGTTTTCTGATCAACTTCATCTACAATACTCGAAACGACACGTAGTACAGTTGATGAAAATAATTTTTCAATCGAAAAGTTTTAAAGGATAGTTGATTCTGAACAGCGTCTTCTTCCACGCCCAATCTTTTCAAGTAATCATGCCATCATTCTGTAACATTGTTACCATGCCCATTTTTGAATGAATACCAACTGATTTGGAAATTGCAGAATTTATCACAATAAAGAAAGCAAGAAAAATTTCAGATTCTATTCTACAAACAGCCACGACTTGTGTACAAATAAGCCATCGAAATTATAGCTCAGGAAAGGATATGATAGTGCTACGCGTAATTCAAACACATAACAAGAAACAGAACCATAGTAGGAGACGGCTTTGGAGACTAAAGAAAAGACAAGAAGCATCAAAATAAATTTCAAGAGCGAAAAATTCACAGAAGTAGATTACGCATATTTGCACTGAATGGGTAGAGATACAGAAAATGGTCAAAAGTAAGAAAATACACAAGCAGAGTCAAGATTTCGGTCAAAAGTTATGTAAAGTTGCCTGCACGAAATCGCCCGGAATGTTGTAGGCTGAACGCACGCGAGCGTGCCTGCAACGCGGCTGCCGAGTACGGGCGCTATGATGACTGCGCGCGAATGCCAACGTTAGCCCGCAAGAGACACGCGCGCAGGTGCTCATTCCGGGCGATTCCGTGCAGTCAACTATATCGAAGACTCAATATATTGAAAAAAAAAGTAGCGGACCAAAGGGAGAGGGCGAATATAGGGCCGGACAAAGCAAAAAAAGTTGCGATGATTTGTCTCCTCGTAAATCAAAATAGTGCAAACTCTAAAAAAATTCAAATCAGCTTCTTAGAAAAAAAGGATGGGGCGTGGCTATCGTATAAGCTCGCTTAGAATTTAGGTAGTATGGTAACATTCCCATTTTTTTGAAAAATCGCTTATTCGAAAAACTTCTTAGCTGCTCACTCCCTTCCCCTCCCTAAAAAAAATTCTGGGACCGCCATCGACGATTTATGGAGTAGTCAAGCCTACGATATAGATATTTACCAAGAAATGCAAAAATAGCATTCTCGTTTTCACAATTTGGAGAGCAATACAGTTACGGTAAGCTTACGGTACAGAAAAACTGGGTGAAGCGATGAAAGTTAACGAGGGAATAGCCCAGACTAGAGAGAGATTCACAGACAACCTCCAAAAAATCAGAATTAAGTAAACCACCACCATCTTGAAAAAGTACAGATTGGAAAAAGTTCGAGTCTAATCCTGGCTACTGCTAGCAGTTAGTTGATGTAGACTTTCTTCTTCTGGCAATGGACGGCGCTTCCATCTAGGATTCGAGACCAGCATGAGAACGCATAGCGCATAAAAGAATACGCACATCCCGACGAAGTTTGAGACAGCTTGTTGGCCACAAAGTTCACGTCCTTTCGTCCAGCAACTTCAAAAAAACTTGCTCAAAAAATGTGATATGAACTATCGCAATTCGACTAACGTGTGCTTCCATGCGGCTCTCTCAGCAATTCCCATTCCTACGTTGAGCGCTACAGCTCCGAAGATCATCATACCAAAGAGCTGGTGATATGGCATCACCAGCTGGCGAACTGGGATAGACATACCGGGAGCGAAGAAAGTGATGAAGCCGACGGCATACTGTAAGAAAAAATGGTTGATTCCGAGGTAAACCTCATTTGTAAGTAACACTCCGGCGTACGGATATCTACCACGGGGGGGGGGGGGGTGGGGAAGGCGCAAGAGAATCAAGGGTGCTAAAAAAAGTCTCCAACTGCTGTTTCATTTATCAAAAAATTGATTAAATTCTAACTGAAAATACAGCAAGCTTACTGCTGCGTAGAAAAACAATCTAAAAATCTATCCAGCCTAAGTCTCAAATTTTTAAAGCCAGTGCCATACTTGACTTGTTTAAACTTGTACAAAGAAATGAGCGCAAGCGACGCGCTAAATGACAGGCATTGGCAACTGGTGTCACGTAAGCGGATATGAATGCAGTGCCAAAGGGGTCTAAAGAGGATGCTTTTTCTTTCTTCTGCTCGAATTGGAAAGTCAGTAGGTTACATTTATTTGGTCATTCGATCGTTGCTTCATGTATGGCTTTGTACGGCAAATTATGCTTACGTGACACCAATTACCAAATGCCCGTCATTTAGGTGCGCCGCCACCGCCTGATCTTTGGAACCATTTACAGGTTAAAAACTGTGCCTACCTCGATTCTTTTCTATTCTTGGTTATCTTATATATAAAGCTGAATGTCTGTTTGTCTGTATGTCTGTATGTCTGTCTGTATGTATGTATGTACGTATGTTCCGAATAGAAAATTCCATTTCTGAACCGATCGGGACCAAACTTGGCACACATACACTTCGGGCCCCGGCGGGTATCATAGGCTACTTTTCGTATCGATCGATATCGCGTAATCGGCATGCTCGATTACACCCAGGGCCCGGCACGCGTTGGTTTGGAGCTTTTTAGGAAACGAAGTCCCCCATGACTTCGCGAAAATTTACGAAATCCCTCTCGACGTAAATCAGTAGGGAAACCCCTATTCAACCAAAACAGCAACAAAAAAGCGAAAAAAGCGCATTTGAGGTATGTAATATAACACAAAAGCAAAAAGAAAACATTTCGAATCGATTAAAGGCTCTGCCATTGGGTATAGTACCACTTTGATGCTGGGAATGTCGAGAATCTCCTAGGCCAACCAAATCTGTAGCCTCAACAATCCTGCGATGTATTTTTCGCCACATATTTCAAAGGATACCGCAAGTGATTGGAGCGCGATATCTATCAACGCGTAGAATTCTACTACTTTTGACTCAAAAAAGGGGAGGGGCAACGGTTTGATCCGCTCTCTTCACTATATGATAGATTTTTGACCGTTCTAGTCGTCCAAATCAAAAAGGTCCAAAACTTATGTGAACTCTCCGATATTTATGCTCCGAACCAACCCAGTTGGTTTGGTAGTTGGTCTAGAAACCAACAAATTCGAGAACGGATATTAGGACACATAAGTTTTGGGAACTTTTTACATAACATAGTTTGGAGTAATATTGTATACTCATAGCCCAAATTCGGAGCCATGTGATTGTTTGTGCGCTGTAAGCAAGCCATTTGTTCGTTTGAGTCTTGCATTTGCAATTCGCGCGCTTGCGAAAGAACACGTTCAACTCGTGAAACCTGACATGTTCGTCGTGTTTTTTTGGCGCTTCCTCCAGGATCTCAAACGATATCCCCGTTGTCTCCAATTCCAAAAACGAAGTCCAGTTTGACCCCAAACCATCGGTGCCGGGCCCTGATTACACCCCTCTGCCAACTCCCAGCCCCGTAGCTCAAATTTTGCAAAAAATCGATGAAATCGACATCGATCGATAACGAAAAGTGGACTGTGACACCCGCCGGGGCCCGAAGGGTATGTGTGCCAAGTTTGGTCCGGATCGGTTAAGAAATGGAATTTTCTATTCGGAACATACGGCGGAGCCGGGTAAGCCAGCTAGTCTTCTCTAAAATTATGCTTACGACACCAACTACCAAATGTTCGCCACACATTGTTAGCTGCGCCACTACCGCTTGACCTTTGGTAAAGGCATCTGCAGGACGAAGGCGCAGAAGAGTTGATCAGGCGCGAACCAGGCGCGCGCGTATCCTCACTGTTTTGATCCTGCGTCTCATGCGCTTTGTGTCTAATAAAACCGCGTTCGCGCCTAAAGATATAGCACCTTCGTCATGCAGCAGCCTATACCAGTTTACAAAAAAAAACCTGTTCATTGCATCTTGTGATAATTTTCGCAGCTTTCCTACACTTTTCGAAGCAACATTTTTGCAAAGAAGTCAAGATTGATGTTTTTCTGGCGAGTAGGGAAACGGCGAATGAGAAGATCAAGTACCTGGATGCAGAAGGAGATGACCACACACATACCGATCCAAGAATGTAATGACATCAGGTTGGGGAGCGGATCAAGATCACCTAAATTCTTCACAATATCTTTGTACCAACTTTATGAACACAATAAAGCATACCTTTGTCATCTCTGTGCAAATTATGCGAATCGAAGACGGCTTTCAGAGCGATGATCATAAATACACCCACCATCGAGTGTAAACAAACATGGAGGGTTTTACTGAACTTCTTCCGCTCGTTACGGAATACACGGTACACAAGCATGGATTCGCCCATAAGGAATACCTAAGAATAATGTATTAAGGGTGGTATTATTCTGGATCAACAGTTATATCAGCGGCGCCCTGTGAAATTTATCGCGAAAAAAAGGGGGGGGGTGAAAGTTTTTCCAAGAAGCGTAGCCTTAACCATGTTCTCTGAACATTTTCAACTTGAAAGTCAAACTATTTTGCTGATATTTGAATGTCCACTTTTGTTTCCTTGAAAAATGTTTGGCCTTATAGACGAAAAGTAATCGTGCATAGTTATTTGAAGTATCTGAGCCATTTTCAAAATTTTGTGGGTACGCGAAGAAATTATTTCAATTGTAAACACACCCGCCACGATTACTATATTTATCAAATCGAATTACGACTTAACTTTCGATAACTTTTTCTTAACGTAACTTTCGATTTTGTGAGAAGGGGGTGGCGGGCCATTTTTATAGCTTCTTCCAAAGATCTGAGTCAAATTTCTACAAAACAGGACTGTCTCAAACATTTACAAAGAGCAGATTACTCGCCTGATTTTATAAGTCAAGTAGACACTTTAGAAAATTCCCTCCTCCCTTCAGCCCCTTCCTCACCCCACCACTGGTATGAAGCAGTGGCGGATCGGGGGGCTCCACCTCCAGCGGAAAAGTCGCAAGATTTTTTTCACCTGTGAATAGCTGAGAAATCGAATTTTTAGAAAACTGAAATCAGCTTTGCAAAAAATTTTGCGGGGTTTGGATCCCACCACGCCCGTTTTTGAAAATTTCGGAGCTACAGAACGACAGAAACTTTGAAAAGTATCCCAAAAGCTTTACAGGAGGGAGTCCTAGTTCCACTGTGAGAAGAAAACTGTCGAGCCTCCCCCCCCCCCCCTCCCTCCCTCCCTCCATCCCCAAATGATTTCTCGGACCACCAGTGGTACACAGACATGGCTTTAGAAGCTCCTCATAGTAGGTTTATGATGCCATCATTCAAACGCCGATGCCACTTACCATGCCCATAACCATGAACGTTGGATGATAATGGAATTCGCGTTCTGGATCTTCAGTCCATGAAAAACCGTCTTCATAGCCACCCATCCATATGGCCACCATCAGAATAGCCAAGCCTCCTGCAAAACGTATTGAAATGCAATGAGCATGAATTGTCTTTATTGATGAAAAGAAAAGAGAAAAGACAGTTTTACCTAGGCACTGCGAGATCACCAATAACACATTGAAAACTTTAACGCTTTGATCCTCCCGCAGTAGCGTAAAATGCGGATCAAACAGCAGTGCCATGATTTGGGACTGGCTGCCCTAAACGATCCTTTGAAATTTCCAAAAAAAAAGAACGATGAACGGAAAAACGATCATTTCATCACAGTTCACGAAAAATATTCACCAATTTGGCCGCAAAAAATTAATGTAATTATTACAGACATACTGTTTTAGGGTTGCAAAATGGAGATGATGTCATCTGATTTATGACAGTGCCAATAAAAAAAGACTGGAAAAGACCACATGAACATCTGGAGGTGTGAGCTCTATGAAGAAAGTTTAGCTCACTGGTGACCGAAATAAAATACCCAAGACTTGACACTTCTTGCACCAAACCGGCCTTGGTCCGACGAATTTCGAGAATGTGTTACTAGGCATGCATTTTAGTAAAGCCCAAGGATGTCTTTTCAAAGAGCAAACATTGTACAAAAAATTACGAGGATACATCTAGTTGCCGTTGATGATAACACTACTGAATATTTTTCTTATGTCCCATCCTTCCTTCACTCAAGTACCATACTGAAGCTTGAAAGCAGCGTCTGGGCAGATTTGGACATAATAGGATACTATCATAAACGAGTACTGGGGCCTCGATCTAGAACTATCGCATAAGTCCGACTTTTGTACACTCCCTGTGAAAGGAAAAAAATCGGCGCAGAAAACGTTGAGCTTCGAGGACCACGCCTACTCCCTCGCACGGTCCGCCCCCTCTAACGAACTCTCTCTAGCCCTTGACGTGTCTTCACGTGGCAAGCACAATGGAACACATAGTGTCTCCTATTAATGCTTGCTTTTGACAAGGATAGCACTGGGAACACTCGCCCACGCTTCTTATAAAACTGTCTCAAAAATGGGGTTTTTTGAGGAATCCACGCATTTTGAGTGCCATATTTGGAATCATCGCCATGAAAAGGCCTTGATAAGGGAAAAGATAAGTCGAGATTCTGCTTGGGCGTTGCCTTTCATCTTGAAATGAGCGTATGTTACTCACGTTCCTAAAAAAGATTCCTAACAAGGGAAGTCACTTAACTTAGGTCGGGCTTTCAAAATGTGACACATATGGTTCGAATCAGCTTGAAATCCTGATTTCATATCTGCTTTTCTTAGCTGCGAAGCGTTCCTCTGAAGCGAGTTATGAGCTTTTTCCTGAGCAAATTTTGCGTGTTGAACGACTTAAGCATGCTACGGTATCATCATCTAGGTATTGGTTCAAATGCATATACCCTATCAAAGCCAAATGACTTAATTTGATGTTATTTTGATTTTCCACCACTTTTTGGGCAGATTTTCATCTAAAGACCTTTCCATATTCACTTGTATGTCAATGACACATACTGAAAAAGCTCATAACTCGCTTCAGAGGAACGCTTCGCAGCTAAGAATAGCATATTTGGAATCAGCGTTCCGAGCTGAATCTAAATATATGTGTCTCATTTCAAAAGCCCGACCTAAGTTAAGTGACTTCCCTTGTAAGTAGACTTGGGGAGAGTGGGAAGGGCACAGCCGAATTATTTTTGAATGAGGATCCTGCATTCCAAACTTTTTATAAAATGTTCCTATAATTTTCCAAGCTTGTAGACTTGTAAAAAAACAACTTGGCTTCGGCAACGTCAAAGAAACTTTTCTTGACAAAGCCAATTTGACTTCCATAAAATTTACTGTATTAGTTTGATTACTCAGAACTAGAAGCAAATTCTCATGTAAGATGTATCGAACACTAAAAAAAATTCTTTGCTCTCATTTGTGGAAGGGGAAACAGGGTTGTTGCTAGCTAGGTTTCTCGCGAGGATGCGAGCTGTCACAGGAAATGGCCTGCAATTTGCTGCAAGATCAGTCTGGATGTTTTTATTGAAACTTCTTCTTCTACATCTCACTTTGGCCTCTGTGATTGAACGATCCCTAGAGAATCAAATTTCAGCTAAAGGCTGCAAATAGAAAGAGCTGCAGAATAACAAACTAGTCCTGCTACTCCAACTATACTCGACCTAACCAAATTGCTGGGTAACATAACAAGCTGAAGCGTATGTGTGTAAACAAAAACAAATGCCCCAGGGTATTGTTCAGAAAAAGCCTGCAGGCCAATGAAGCCTAATTTGCCAAAAGGATCAACCCAGTCATCCAGAATCTATGAAGAAGTGATGAACAAGGAGATAGTAGGTGACTGATGGCGCAATTAAAAGGTGGGTTAACAAAAAAAGAAAGTGAATTTTATATTAAAAGTACATGTAAGTGATTTTGTTGAATGACGTGTGACCAGATCCTGCGCCATCGAAAGTGAAGAAGAAAGAAAAAATCCAAGATTCACAATCACGGACAGTCATTGATTTCTGAAGCGGATCTTATGAGGTGTCAAAAAGCTCTTCTGTTCTCTCAGAATACATTGAATTGGCTTATAGTTACACCAATACTTCACCAAATGTCAAATCGGAATTGTGGGAACTCGCGAAGACAATAAAAATTCATGTCTTCAACTAGTTCCAAAAAATGAGAAAATGCGACCAAGCATATGATTTTTGATATGAACCCAAGCAAACAACTTGCCGTGAAAGAATGATAGAAAAGAATTTTTTATGCGGTACAAGGATGTATATGACCTACCTTGAAGAAGTTTTAGAGGAGGAACAGGGCATGATGTACGAGAACAATTCTTGAGACTCAAAGAAAACTGGTTTTGTTTCACATCGTCTTCTAGACGAAAATCTACGATATAAAGTTGATCACACTACAAGAAACAATTTCCAAAATCGCGTAAAAAAATTATGAATTTTGTTCGCAAAATAATGTAGTTAAATCTGCTAAGAAAGTTCTGTAATAATCCGCTATGAAAGAGTTTCATTGTTACTCTAATGCTTGGACGTCAGAAAAAACCTTGATATTACAGAGATACGGCTAATTGGAGAAAGAAGAGAAAAAAGTCGTCCCATTAGGTGAAATCCGAGCAGATCCATGTCGAAGCCCGGAATGCAAACAGGGATATAACTGGAAGGGGGCCGCCTGGCGGGCAGCGCGCCTTCCCTAGCCGTGAGTCGATACGTTGGCAGGCAGGCGCTGAAGCAGCCATCTCGCAATTAGAATGTGCTTTTTTGCACCTAAATCACGTCATAAGTATCATAAGTACCTGGTTAGCCATAAAAAGCCCCTTGATTGAGGCAATTGGCACATGACAGATGAAGAAAACTGGAGAAAATGTAGAAAAATCAGAACGAAAAAATGTTTCACCAGTGCGATGACAAAATGCCGCAAAGAATGACGGAATAGTTACAAGAGCATAATCAAAAATTGGATCGACTCAAACCCACTTGGACTACTTTTGGAAACTGAAAGGAGGACTCTCAACTAAGCCTTTGCTCAAGCGGCAGCTCACATTATTCATTCGTGGCCGAGAAATCTAATTGCAGCCTCTCGCACAGTACCGTACCAAAGTGCCGGAGTACGGTACTGGGCCGGAGTTTGGAGTAGATTTCCTCGGCCATGAGTGGATCATATGAGCCACCGCTTGAAAAATTGCTTAGTTGGAGCCTCCCAATCACTATTTGAATATAAAGGCCAAGTACACGCTTATGCCCGTACAGCGCCCATAGGGCAAATTAATCAAGCATGTAAAGGACTGAGAGCCGACAGAATAGGTAGTAAAGACAATAAAAGCGTGTAAAGACAGATGGACTTAAAGCAAGAGAACATGCTAATAACTCCGTGGATAAGCGAAGGATAGAGGATAAGCAAAAATTTGATTCGGAAAACTGTTGAATGGGACGAAAACCTGAGTAAAAAAACCAATTTTGCACCATTTCGCGAATTTTCTTCAAAAACGCACACACGTCATTTTCAATAGAAAAACTCGTTGCTGGGATAACCACATTGACATGCAAGCAGACAGAATAAGAAAAAAGCTTCAGATGTAGAAAATGCTTATAGTGTGCTCGAAAACACAAATTTTAGTGGTTTATCAATAATCTAAGCACTTAAAAATGTACACGGTTGGAGAAATAAAATGACTTAGCAAAATTTGAGCAAATTCCAATCACAGAAGTGTTCACGACGCAAGGAAAACTAATTTTACCTATACACCAGTGGCTTTAGAACAAATTTTCTACGGGGACGTTGTGGAAAGGAAGAAAAGAGAAAATTCCATAAATTAAGTGTCCATCGAACTTCAGAAAATGCTTCCAAAGTTTTAGCAAGGTTAATCCTCAAAAAAAAAGCCAAGTTTTAATCATATAAAATTTTAGAAAATTATCTCAATTATTCACAAATGTAAACAAGTTAGCTGCGTGTGAGCAACCCTTATAACCAAATTTGAAAATCGAAAATCTCGCGAGCCATGCAAAAAAAAATTCAAAATATCATTTAAGAATGCCAATCTCTCCAGAAAGGCCATAGGTGTTTTTAACCTCCTTATACGACTAGTCACCCTGAAGTTTCTTTTTTGATATCGAATGATGAAAAAAAACTTCTGCTATAAAAAAAGCAAGGCCAATTTTTTGCTCCAATCTCATAAATGGGAAAAATGCACTGCAACGCAAACAGATTCTAATCTACTATTTACTCCGTTAAAACCTCCTCTCTTCGCCCGAATGCAAAGAGCTGAATGGGCCAAACCAATCCATTTAATATTGCCTCATTCTGCATGCCATACGCCCATTTAATAAGGCGACGCTATTGAGCCGAGCACCCACTGAAAAACGAAAGCCTCTTAGCTTTCATCACTTCGCTTGCTGTAATTTTTGCATACAAAAAATCGCTCATGCATATCTAATGAGTTTAGGGCTTAAACGCAACTTCGACGCTTCTAGAAATTACATGTGCGCCGTTTGCGAACGTCAAATGCAGATGTGGGACGATTCATTAAGAAAAAAGAAAATCAGCAGGGAGAGATATCCAGGGAAAGTCAGAGCTTCTCGATATATTAGAAGTTAAAAACAAGGATGCAATAAATGTCAAAGATTGATGCCTGACAAAAAATGTAGAAAGGCTTTCTGTTTGACAAATTTCTATCAAAAAACAAAATTGATTTTCCCCGCAAAAATCTTCGTTTTCAGAAAAAAAACAATAATTGTCTTAAAAAGCATATACCAAGAAAATTTACATAGAATATTACACTGAATGATTGAGTAAATTCCACTGGGAGGGGGGAGATGGGAAGTAACAAAAAAAAACGGTGTTGAACGACTAAAATATAAACAAAAAGCACTGAAAACGCTAGTTTCCTAACTTTTGGTAGCCAGAAAAATGGTAGATTTCAATGAAAACGGTGTTAAATACTATAAACTCACTTTATTTCTCTTAATCTCATTTACCATTATCTCATTTTATTTTAACCTTATTTTTCTCTTCTTGGTGAAAAAGGAAATACTATTACCCCACCTTATTTTGTCTTTACTTACTATCATCTCATTCACTTCTATCATTCATCAAATAATAGTATTTTATTTTCATTTCTTGGTGAAAAATAAAAAAATATCATTTCACTTTATTTTATCTTTATCCCACTTACTATTATCTCATTTTAGTTTTGAAAAGTGACGTAATAGTTAAGTGTGATAGAAACGTTTAGTAAAAACAGTGTGACTGGAAAATTGGCTCAAATTGTCTCAAAAATTGAAGGTTCTAACCAAAAAGTCAATCTGACCATTATGGTAAAAGTTTGCTAGAGGTGCAAAACTGACTACATGTGTTTAACATCAAACAAAAGTGCAAAACGTAAATGGGTGCGAAGATGAGGCAGAAAACGAAGTACACAGATGTGTTATTGAATAAATGCACAAACTACAATGCAATTTTCCAAAGCGAAAGACTAACGAAGGCAAACTGGATGCAAAAAAGTTGTCGCATGTTGCAGAACAAGAAGAAAGAATAATGAGAGAAATGCGATACTCAACAATGAAAGACTTGTTCTCAGAAAAGATAGATGCATATACAGAAAGAGAGTTGAGAATAAAGTGAAGAAGCACCGACTATTGATTGTGATGTAAATAGGGAAAGATGCACTGGTTTTATTGTTTGACTATATTAGACATGCAATTGAGTTTTCCACCTATTGTTAGTTGACGTTCCACCCAGCATGCTGAAAGCCAAAACTTGCAAGAAACAAATATGCGAAACATATTTTTAGGTTGAATCAAGTTATAGAAATAATAGACAAAGTTTTCATGGGTCCCACTAGATTCTTTGAGGCAGCAGAATGCTAAATTTTGTCATCAGAGAGATCAAAGTTAGAAGTATGTGTCAAGCCAAGCCAAAATTTTGTAAAATCTAGAACTTTCGCACATCCTCAACTTGGTAGAAAAGAATTTTTCCCATGAGCTCACAAGTTAGCAAATTTTCGAACGATAGAATTCTCAATGTCAAAACAGTAACCTAAAAAGCAATAACGAATTCATATCTTACTGCCTCGCTTGCAAAGAATTAGTTCAAATGATGATTAAATGGAACATGACTAGCGATAAGAAGAAGGAAGCATCTCAAGAATTAATTGCAGTCTCCAAAGAGGATATAATGAAATAGCTGTATACGTAGAGCCCCACACACACCTAAAAGGATTAATTTTCAAAAAATGAAGATTGCCACTTTAAACAAAGACTTAACGACATTCAATTGTGCGCATAGCGAAAAAGTAAAAAAAAACATGCTCAATCTCTACCATAAGCTACAACCATTAGAAGCGAGAGTCAGAGATAGTCTCCAAAAATTTTCATAACTTACTTCTACTTATTACTGACATCATGTGAAAAGGCATTCAAGAACAACATGCCCCTGAACAACTATTGTGTAAGTACATTACTCTCACCCACAACCCTATAAATGCATGAAAGGACTGTTCTATTGAACTGAAATCACATAGATGATAGAATCATTGGTAATCGACTATGCATTTTCTCAAGATAACAATGATTCCAACTGAATTTATTAAAGCATGAATAAATAAGAGCTAAATAAATAGGGAGAAAAAAGTTGGAAATAGAATCTTTCGCTAGATGAAACTAGAACGAATGAGTAGCATAGATAAGAACAATGAAATATGAGCATGCGGTACTTCTTATCTATTCTCATCAAATTACAAATATGAACTATAATAATCAATGATTATAAAAATCATGATCATCATTTCGCTGGAGTTTCGCCGCTAATGGTAGATGGTCTAGCCAGAGGAAGTGGGTAAAATAAATGACTAAAAGTTTAGCAAGCTTCAACCTTTGAATAAATAAAGATGCTCATAGTGAATGCATGGGTTTCTCAAAAATGTGCTTGTGTGTATTAATTGATTTTTTTATGTGAGTACGTTAAGATGAATTACTGTACCTAATTAAACAAAAACTGAATCTGGCAAAACTCACATAAAAGTGACACGAATGCTTAGAATTGAATGTATGCTTTTGAATCATAGATATATCCTGAAAAGAAAAGAATGTCGAAATCGTGACAGAAAAAGATACCGGCTCATTTCTGAAAATCATGAAAAAAAACTGCAGCGGAGATCGCATACGCTTAGCGATAAACAAGTGTCACGCGCATCGATCCGTGGTATTGATAAAAAACTAGAAGGACATCCACTTTAGTCACTTGCAGTCATGTTTGGAAAATTGCGGTGACATCGAAATTGAAGAATACAGAATGCTCCACTTCATTGTATGCAACGAGACTTCAAAATCAACAGGACTTTCAGCAAGATAAGAATGAGCCATCGAAAGCTAAGTTTGTTTTCGTGTAAAGAAAGCAAGACAAAAAAACACGACGTGATGACTAACAACACTCTTCCCAAACATTGAAGCTGGGAATTTCGCAAAAACAATCGACAGTACCTTGAGAGCTCATCACAATTGTGGTGAGTGGAACATGAATGAAAATATAACTACGAAGAGAAATTCAAGCGTAGGAACAAGCAAGGATACTCAACAAAGCAGAAGATTAGAAGAAGCAATTTCATCCTAGCTCGCCGTCCACCTACACTACTTATTTTCAAAAGTACTAAGCAAATGCCCTTCAGACCACAAAAGGACTGATGAGATGAAGCAGCAAACAAGTACCACCCACTTCTTTCATCTCGAACCTATGAGACCAGTATAGAAATATAAAGCTTTGATGAAAAGTACTCGACTGCAGACAGGGACGAAAAAAAGATTGTCAGGTCTTATATTCACGTTCCTAAGTCCAACAGTTGATCACATTACTACAAGAGATATAGGGAGAAGCTGATATTTCGATTCGACTTCTGGGATACAAATGCATAAGAGGTTATTCTCTTGACTTTGTATTTCATAAATGGCACGCACTCCACATTTTAAATCCTGCAGATATCAGCGATTTAACAATCGAGTGGAGCTCGGGTTACACTTGTTGATAAGAAATCATTGTCTATCAAGAAATAATTGAGTCCTACTAAAACCAAAATTAAAGGGGCGAAGTCAAGAACCTATTCTTCTATAGTACACACTGGATCGAACAGTCTGATAGCCGAATTTTATCCTAAAAATGTGGATAAAAACTTTATAGCATAAAAATACAGAGCTTTACATCAACTTCAAAAATGAAGAGGGTAAAATATAAGTTCCAAATGATCTCTTCTAAGATAATCAAAACAAGGGGATCACTGAATATCACGACTCTTACAAAATTATACAACCTTTCATCACAGCGCGGCTCGACAACCAAATGATCTAGTGAACTTATTTTACCTACTTATCTACACTGTGGGAATTAACAGGATCAAAGTGCATTCAACAGTGGCTCTTACGTCACTGGTCGGTAAGCAATCCTGAGCCAACATGTCGCCTGATAAGGTGACTTGAAATGACTGGGCAAGCAAAGGGATCTAACTTCGTATGAACAAAAATAAAAAGCATACATAGCAAGAAAGGTTGACTAAAAGTACTAATTAAATAAAACAGGAAGGTCGTCTTCATTCGCTAGTAGGTTTCTCGCCTGGGTTTCAGCTCTTTCAGCTTCTTCGATTCGTATACCACGTTCCTTTGCTTCTAACTCCTTCTGTTTCTTCTTGTTTGCTTGAATCTTCTTCATTCTGCAAAGTAACGATTCAGCTGTGATTGTTGTACCTTCTATGTGATTGTAAAAAGAGTTTTACTAAGAAAAATAAGAGTAAATTAATTTGATACTTGAAACATCAAAGCAACTGACTGCATTTGAATTCTTTCAGCGGGTACACTAAATATAGGTCTGAGCTAGCAAATCTGTACCTGAAGAACTCTTCTCTTTCCATTTCATCCAGCTCCGTAACAATGTAGGACAGTGTGTTTTCGATACGCGGAATGATCACTGAAACTCGAAATTTATTTCAAATTCATAACATAGATTCAAATAAAGAGAACTGTCAATTACAAAAACTGATGGTTATCAAAATCAACGCTCATCATAGCTGGCTTTGCCGACGGAATCGAGAAAAATATCGGGCAAAATCCTCGAGATCAAGAAAGTTGGTGAGTGTTCTTCCCAGATAAGCGCTCGCAAAAAATATTGACGAAATCAACTGGCACTGTCCACCCAGATTCACAACTTCCATGTTTGATCGTTCCGGGGCCTTCTCATATCCCTGATTCCGAATATGAAATCGAGAATCCGCGAAAACCCCGACAATCCTCGTTCTAGAGAACCCGCAGGCCGCCTTTCAGAACGGTGATTGGATGAGCACGCATCGATGGGCGGGCATTACTGGAGGGGGCGGTACCGACGACTCAATCTTCGCTATTCCGAAGCGAGATTTTTCGCCGCAGCCTCAACATTGGCTTGATGGGGGGGGGGGATCCTAATATCATAAGCTGCCAACAGCTCAAGACCCAAGCTTAGGATGAACGGTGCCTTCAAGTCCTCTTTAACATTTCAAGAAAAAAACATCTTGCAATTAAAAAAGTGAAGAAAGAAGCTACATCAACGAACCATGTTCGATAGCGTTGACTCTCCTATTGGTGACTTTGATAGCCTCATCCAGAGTAATGAAGCATGTTTGTAAGGTGGCAAGTTCTACCAAAAGTTCAATGGCCTAAACAGAACTTGATTCGTACGAAAAAAGAACATTTTATAAGCAACTCGCCTTATTGTAATTCTTTTTCAGCTTAGCAATGTTAGCTCCTCCTTTTCCAAGACCTGTCAGATCATACGCATCAGGTCCTTCTGCAGTAGCTTCAAAGACTGGTAGCATAACACCTACAAGGGCATGAATGATGTTCGTGCATATCGTTTTGTATACTTAACATTGATGTACATAAAAATACACGCGACATCTTGCAATGAAATTTGAATTTCTGCGGTTAATTATTGGCTTAACCTGACGAAAAAATTTTGACCTAGGGCGCAAATCCTATCCTAGATTCAAATAAAAACTCAGTTATTTTCCACATTAGATTTGCAGATAGACTCAATCACAGTAAAAACAACATACCCAAAGTTGGTGAATTGGGATTATTCAAATAAAAATCGGATCAGAGGGTCGATTATTCAGTTCAAAGTACACAGGAAGAATAGATTATCCCTTGAATAATTGTAGAAAAAATCATGGTTTGATTAGAAAAAGTGTAAGGCTGCGTTCATAGTGATCCGGAAGTTCGGGAACACTTCCAGCATACCTCTCAGTTCGAGCGCTGTACTGAAACTGTTCCCAAACTTCCAAAATAGTATTAAAGCAGCCTAAAGGAGCAGGCCATTGTCAAGCAGCGAAAAATTCTACTGTGGTAGCTATCGTTGTTATCTGATCATCCATTCGTTTGAGAAAAACCAGAAGAACAACTGTAAACCGCAACTAAAACACAACACCCAAACATCAAAATGCCATTACAGATGTAACAATGCTAAATCCATCGCTAGTGCAATGGTCCAAATATGAAATGCAGTGTGCGCTTTTTCTCAATAAGCAGGTAGCTTATGCTAGTCAGATATTCTTAGAAAATGAAAGTTTAAGTGATGCGCGTTCTGCCCAAAAATAACTTAGGATTTAGAGGCAACGACAAGACAAAAGTAGCACCAAACCCAGTTAAAACAAGTCTTCTGTATGATCACTGACCGACAACGTTTTCTTTCTTCATACGAACACGATACTGTGCCTGTGAAACATTCTGAATGACGGTGTGTGAGAAGTCGCCGGCCGTGAATTTCGCTTCTGCTAGGGAAAACGCAGCTTCTTTCATTACTTCGCCCATAAGCACCTTGTTCTGAAACAAGTGTGCTCAAGTATGCTGAAGAACGTACAAGAAAAAAGGGAAAGTGGGGAAAAGTTGGAGTCAAATTGAAAGAAAAAAAGAGAACTGGTATTTGATGAAGTTTCTCGAACAAGCAAAAAAAACCTTAGACCATTCAAGGCAATAAACTCACCTCTACGATTTTCTTCAAAATATCACGGAAACGCATATTCAGGGCATCAGCCTTCTTCTTCAGTAGTGAGTGACCTTTCTGAGCTCCCTTCAGACGCGTTTTCATGACCGTTTGGGCCCTAGATGTTTATCGATAAATTCTTTGGTAAATGAAAATGCATCAAAGCGTAGAAAACTCCTGAGTTTGCTGGAGACAGAAACGTCCTCTAATAAGTTAAGACAAAAGGCCAAGAAAATCTACAGGTTGATTGTCTAGGTCTCCAGCCTCATTGTTATTGGGATCCGTCATACTTCGCCGAAAAAAGCCCAAAAGCGCCCGAAAAAGAAGAAAAGCGCCAAAAAGAGCCCGAATGCCCCCTTCTGTGCGCAAGTTTTGGCGCTAATGCATGTGTGTTGACTTCGCAACCAAGTCATTTTGCTTCATTTTCTGTCGTCTGCACACCAGAATAATGTCAGAATTCTACCAAAAGTTCCAGAAGCATTCTGGCTCTATCTGGCGCTTTTGGGCGAAGTATGACGGCTCCCTTATTCTTAACAGGATAATCGCTTTCAATACTCGTTCTGCTTCCGATGTAAGTTACGATAAGAAGAGGGAAGCAGAAAATACACTACAAAGTGTGAAAGCGCTACATACAACAGACTCGTAGGCGCCGAAGAGTGAAAAACATTGAAACGCCTCTGCAACATGATTATATACCATTTTCGCGATAGAAAAAGCGATCAGATACATGGTCATGGGAATAACGCAGCCAGTCTTACTAGAAAGCTGCTTACAAAGCGTAAGCACAGCATGGGCAATATGACTATGTAGTAATGCAAAAGAGAAAGTTGCAAGATGCAACGATAAAAATAAAAGTATGTCAAAAAAAAAACTCACATTCGCGAAGGGAACACAGCAATACGATCCTTTCCGCCACCAGACATGGTTGAATGACCTGGAACAAGACATTTATCTATAGACAACAGCACAAGCTGACAAGATGATTGAAGGAGAAATCCTCTGGAAGAGAATTCAAAAAATAGCGCAGGTATTCAACGGTATTTAACTTTACTGACATGAAAATAACACAATCACTTGCAGACGCAGTAACAACAAAGCACTTCAAGGAGTGGCGGACGAAGGTTCTAGTTTTGGAAAACCCAGAGCTTCTTCTGGTACGACATATTACAACCAAATATATAGTTTAGAAAAGATCGATGGAATTGAAACGAGTTGAAACCACTAAGCTCCTCCCAATGCTGAGGCCAGTGATCAACGGGAGAGCAAGCGACCGCGGTTTGCTGCCCTGGAGCGCGTTATCGCATGACCTCTTCTTGACGACCGTCGAGAAGATCGTCGAGAAGAGGTCAGTCAGTCACACGAACACTGCTGCGTGTGAGAGAGAATATGGGAAAAACTCTAGTTATTATATAGAACTGTTAAGTTTCAAATATTTTCTTCGCAATTATCGAACCCTTATTCAATAAAACATCTCTCGAGATTGCCGGAGATTTTGAGAACTTAGCGGCTATTTGATTTATCGTCCAATCGTCGACGGCGAGGACAGCCGTACTCTGACTTTTGCTGCGTACCAGCGGGTTCGATGCTCATCTGAGCGGAACACGCAAGTGCCGCTGGTATACACGATCCAGGAACGCAAAGACTGGGGGCCGTTGCGTCCGGCCAAGATAGTTTGTGCATGGAAGAAATAGCAGATGGTAAGAGAAACAGAAGAGCGCTCGATCAGAGAGATGCCGACAAGTCCGCAGTCTTTGCTTCCTTCGCCTATAGGGCAGTCGCACGCCTCTCGTACGCTCTGGAATTCTTGGTATATAGGAGAATGGTACGCCGCTGGTACGCCAGGAGTATGCGCCTTCGTTAAAGAACCGCAATTTTACCCGATTTTTGGTCATTGTACTGATTGCAGCATTAGCTGACTCGAAAATTGCTATCCTGCAAAATTCCACTAAGTCGAAATTAGCGCAAAAAGATCCCATTAATTCGACTGATGGACTTTGCCGATCGAAAACAGAGGATCATGCCCTTGCAGTACTCGGCTGTATACTGTCAGGTCAACTCAATAGGAGCAACTTGAACTCATTCCTGTCGAGTACCGAGAAGTGTTAAGGCTTCATAAATGCTGAGGCAGCCAAACCACTGCGTCGTATCCCATGCGGGTGCTACTTGTGCTTACAGCGTGAGATAATGTGATGGGGCGCCGCTCGCCTGCTTGCGTTATTAGGACGCCCTTCGTCGCAACGTATGCCGCTGGTAGCGCTGATTATGGAAGCCGCTGTAGGCTAAGCGCAGAACGTGGAACGCCGCTGATACGCCGAGCCACTTAGGAAGGCCGCTGGTACGCAACGAATGTCGGAGCAGTTGCGAAGCATGTTCTCCACGGCCGAATGCTCGCACGAATATCCTTTGCTTCAATCAGATTGGCTGTTGAAGGCGGGGCTTCATGGCCTAAGAGGCGACTGCTCGCCTCCGCGACGCAGTCTGAGCCCTTCCTCGCGAACATGCTCTCTGATCTTTTTAGTCTTAATTAGGTCACGGAGCCCCGCCTTCCAGCCGCCGATCTGTTTGAAGCAAAGTGTCGCGGCTCGCGATCGACCGCTCCTCGCAGCATGTGGCCGGGAGCACCGTGTTGCCGCGCGGTTCGGTCGTGAGCACGGTCGCCGCGCTTTACGGCGGCTACCTTGTTCGCTTCCGGACCACTACGTAGGCACGCCCCCAGCCACCGCTATAAATAGTGCGTACGCGCGCCATTGCGGCTCTTCTTTCTCTTTCGTCTTACTACTATAGTCGTGCCGCTCGTATTATTGATTGGTTGGGTTTCTACGATATCGCCGTCGGCGTGGCTTGCGCGATAGTATGAATCGTCGATGGATTGCTTGGATGAACGCGCAAGGATAGAATTCTAGGACGATGAACATCATAAGCGCCTTGGACGCGCAGGACTCGTTGGGAGCTCGGTTCGACGTAGCTTGTTATCATGGGGTCGGTGTTGCCGTGTCGTCGCTGCTGCCTTGGCGGCTAGCGCGGCCGGCCTGTGGGTAGCTCCCTTGGAAGTTGGGAGAGAGTGAGAGTGTGCTAATGTGAGAGTGTAAGTGAGTAGAGGCCCATCGGTGGCGCGGGGTATAGCGGCTCGCCCCGTGTTGTAAGGGTTTAGTACTTTCGGTAGTTTTAGTATTATGTTTAGCTTAGTAGTTTTCTTTTATTCAAGATAAACTTGTGTGATGTATATTTGTGTAGGATCTCTTGCGTTCTAGTCGCGTCATATCGAGTATGCGGGTAGGGGTAGTCGCGACACGGTCGCGCAGACAAGGGCCCAGTTTGCATGGTCGTCTATAACATCCTGGGAACACAGGATCGGGCTGTATATGGCGAGCGGTGAAAGGCGCTGAGCCTTAAAGAGCCGCAACACAAAGGGTACGATTTAGATATACAAGTCGTGCTCCCGTAACATCTCAGCCGCGCAATCTACGGTTACTCCGTGCGGTCATCGACCCAACGGTAGTTTGATTCATTTTTGGGAGTTAAGTGCCGTTTCCAGTGTAAGGCCTTTCTAGTGTCACAAGATCTGTTGAATCACTCCGAACTCTGCGCTTCTTGTATAGATTACAGCCTGGAGTAGGCAAAGCATTTCATGTGGAGCGACGGTGTCCGTTTTGCTGGAGGCTATGCGAGCGCAAAAGGAATTTGACAAACGGTTATATATAGCGGCGGCGCCTCATCTCAGTGTCTGTCTGTCTTTGTCAATAGGTAATCTTTCCATTGTTATCATTTGCGCTCACGCCTGGCTGTCAAGGCTCCAGCCTTGAATATCTCTTTCACGTTAGCTGTCGTGCGAATCAAAATCAAATTTGAATTGAATTTGAATCAATGTCGAGCGGGGCTATTTTCGGACATGTGAGGATTGGTAAGTTCTAAAGAACATCGGGAGCGGAGAGGCCCTCGTGGTGTGCTGGTCAAGAACTAGCTCTGCCAGGCGTTAGCTGCCAGCTGCTCGCGCGCGCAGAACAGCCTGACCTCACTCGTTTATGGCATGGAGCAAAATGATTTGATCAGCTCTTTTTATTAACGTTCGTTTCCTGCATCAATCATAGAACATATTTCAAATGGTGAATTTAGCAAAAAACATTTCTATCGCGCCTGTATGGCGATCTAATTGCTAATTACCTCCATGAGAAAATGACAGAACCCTTACTATAAACAATAATCAAGAACAACTGTTCGGCCATTTACTGTAAATATAGTGCCTGCATGAGCAAGTCGCTGCTGAGGCGGTGCTATATACCTGTACACGTTTATTGACAACCGGCACCCAGGATGCCACTATCGTCAGCTGTCGTTATTCTTGACATATACTCAGATAATCGCTGGGGGCAGGCGGCCATGCGATTCATAGGCGGGCGGGCATCGGAAAAATAGTTCGCTGATTTTTTGCGGTCTGCTTGCAGATATTTGGAAGAATTTTGGCGAAATTTTGGACGAATGCTTGGAGAATAGTCGCGATTTCCTTATAAATTGCTGCGGCGCAGTGGCCGCACTCTCGCGGACTTTCCGCGAGAATATGCAAAATTTCTGAGGGCCGCACGGTCCTTTGTGGAGGACCGCGCGAAATGGCAGAACCCTTACTATAAACACTTGACACCTCTGCCACACAGAGTCTTACCTGTGCTTGACGTACGTCCGAAACTGCGTAAAAAGAGTCCGAGCGCCTGCTAAAGTTCGCCAAGCGTTTGCTAAAAGAGATTATTTAAAAGCGCCTTCAAAAAATTCTGTGTTGCTGCCCGCTGGCAGAACATTAGACAGTAAAGGAAGTACCGCTCGCTGAAGTTTGGCCACGCCCCAAAATTCTGCTGCGGAAAAGCGCGAGTTTGCGGATCGCCTGCCCCCGGCGATCATCTGAGTACCCGCTCTCGTGCTGTGTTATCCTTGGCGAAGTGCGGCGGATGTTTAGGCGAAGCATCGGGAGCATGTTCCTGTTTTAGATATACGCGCACGACCAGTAGCACCGGGACGCGCCTGGTTTTTGAGCTTTTATCTGTTTAGCAGTTCATCTAGGAATTGCGTTTCCAGTGGTCATAGTATTTCTTCTTGTTATCGAATCTGACATCTATCTAGTATCTCTTGTCGCGCGCTAGGGGAAGTAGTAGGCTAAGTGGCGTTGTATGTATCAAGCTGCTGGGCCTTGGCCACTCGGGCAGAACTAGGTGTTTAGGGCCTACCAACCAGCTACAAAACGCTTGACAATAGTGCTTAAAGCCACTTAACACGTTGACGACCTTGTGCACGTATGCACGCCCTGACTCTCGTTTAGCATTTTCGTGCATCCTCGCATATGCACGCCAGTTTTTCGATGTAATCGAAAAGTTCTAATGCAACTTCTATGCAGCAGTACTACTGGTGGCCTGATTGTCTTGTAGAACACAGGGCTTTTCTGCAGCTTTTCAGAAGTATGAACCGCAAAATTGGGTGATTCCATTTTTGATGTGGTAAATACATGCCAATCACTGTTTGTCCGAGAAGGTGGAAACTCTGTATAGCTGTTTTGAAAGCAAACAAGGATGAATAGAGCAAAAAACACCTGATATTACAACGCTTTCCTCGAAGAGGGATTCTTCAGATATACAATGCTGGACATAATTATAAAGCCACTCTTGGTGCAAAAATTTTGTCAGTTTTTTCAATCCATTAAAAAGCACGCTAGAATAAAGATAAACAAATACTGCATGAAGTTTCCGATGCAGAATTTCTTCCTCTTTCCATCTGCTAAACTCCCGTTATGTTTCCTTGAGAAAACGACGAGATATTTGCCGGAAATTACAACCACTCGTTTTTACCATGTCCAACTTTCACTAATTTTCAAAATTTTTGTATGAGATTTTCGGAGGAGCTCTAATAAGCACCAGATAGGGCAAACCTTTTGCCAACAGAAGCAATTTTTGTAGC